GTCTTAATTCATTTCAGCATTAACCCAAAAGTCCACAGTCCAAAGTCTCATCTGAGACAAGGCAAGTCCCTTCTGCCCATGAGCCTGTAAAATCAAAAGCAAGCTAGTTACTTCCTAGATACAACGGGGGTACCAGTATTGAGTAAATACAGCCATTCTATATGGGAGAAATTGGCCAAAACAAAGGGGTTACAGGGCCCATACAAGTCCAAAATCCAGTGGGGCAGTCAAATTTTAAAGCTCCAAAATGATCTTTTATGACTCTAGGTCTCACATTCAGGTCATGCTGATGCAAGAGATGGGTTCCCATGGTCTTGGGCAGCTCTGCCCCTGTGGCTTTGCAGGGGACAGACTCCCTCCTGGCTGCTTTCATGGCTGGCACTGTGTGTCTGTGGCTTTTCCAGGTGCACAGTGCAAGCTGTTGATAGATCTACCATTCTGGGGTCTGGAGAACAGTGACCCTCTTCTCACAGCTTTACAAGGCAGTGCTCCAACCCTGTGTGGGGGCTCTGACCCCACATTTTCCTTTTGCACCTCCCTAGCAGAGGTTCTCCATGAGGGCCTCATCCCTGCAGCAAACTTTTGCCTGGGCATTTCCATACATGTTCTGAAATCTAGGCAGAGGTTCCCAAACCTCAGTTCTTTTGTGCACCCACAGGCTCAACACCATGTGGAAGCTGCTAAGATTTGAGGCTTCCACCTTCTTAAACCACAGCCCGAACTGTACATTGGCCCCTTTCGGCCATGGCTGGAGCAGCTGGGACAGAGGGCACCAAGCCTCTAGGCTGCACACAGCACAAGGACCCTGGGCCCACCCCACAAAACCATATTTTCCTCCTGGGCTTCCAGGACTGTGATGGGGGCACTGCTGTGAAGGTCTCTGACATGGCCTGGAAATATTTTCCCCATAGTCTTGGGGATTCACAGTAGGCGCCTTGCAAATTTCTGCAGGTGGCTTAAATTTCTTCCCAGAAAATGGGTTTTTCTTTTCTATCACATAGTCAGGCTGCAAATATTCCAAACTTTTATGCTCCACTTCCCTTATGAAACTCAATGTCTTTAACAGTAACAAGTCACCTTTTGAATGCTTTGCTGCTTAGAAATTTCTTCTGTAGATACCCTAAATCATCTTTCTCAAGTTTAAAGTTCCACAGATCTCCGGGGGGATGGGGGGGGGGGCAAAACGCCAGCAGTCTCTTTGCTAAAACATAACAAGAGTCACCTCTACTCCAGTTCCCAACAAGTTCCTCTCCTCTACCTGGACCTTATTGTCCATATTGCTATCAGAATTCAGGCAAAGCCATTCAATAAGTCTCTAAGAAGTTCCAAACTTTCCCATATTTTCCTGTCTTCTTCTGAGGCCTCCAAACTGTTCCAGCCTCTGCCTGTTACCCAGTTCCAAAGTCACTTTCACATTTTTGGGTATCTTTACAGCAACGTCTCACTCTACTGGTACCAATTTACTGTATTAATCTGACACTGACATACCCGAGATGGAGGAAAAAAATGAAGTTTAATGGGACTTACAGTTCCACATAGCTAGGGAGGTCTCCGAATCCTGGTGGGAGGCAAAAGGCACTTCTTACATGCTGGTAGCAAGAGAAAAACGAGAAAGAAGCGAAAGCAGAAACCCCTGATAAACCCATCAGACCTCCTGAGACTTATTTACTCTGATGAGAGTAGCACGGGAAAGACAGGCCCCCATTCAATTACCTCGCCTTCAATCCCTCCTACAACACCTGAGAATTCTAGAAGCTACAATTCAAGTTGACATTTGAGTGGAGACACAGCCAAATCATATCAGAAATATATAAAATACTATCTACTAATCATTACTGCAGGTATAAATTATTTCCGCAAGATTGGTAACAAAAGTCATAATAAAGATATGGCAACAGATTAATGCCCATTAATACAGACAATGCCAGGAAGAACTATATCCATTACAATTTATTTAAGGAAAATAAAATGATACCTACAATACTCCAGACATTGTCTCGACTTTTAAAAATGCGAAGTAGAATTTTCTTAACTAACTGTATCAAGTTGCATCTTTTATCTGTTGTTGCAAGTACTCTTAAAAAAGAAATGAAAAAGTAGGATGTTGTCAAACGGTGTGAACAGGACAAAAGCATGTTTGATTTCTAAATAGGATGAATTTATATACTGAGTTAAAAATAAGGTTCTGATAAAATTTTGTGACTTCGATGAAGACAAAATGTTTACATAAATCAAAGCTAAGAACAAGAGTATGTTTGAGTTACATCTCAAACATCTCTTGAAGAGGATATATCATCATAAGTCTTTCCACCAAGAAATATATTTTGTTAACTCCCCAAAAATACCTGTAAAAGAGACAATGTTTTCCATGATAAGGGACACATGACATAATGGCTAGGAAGGTAGATATTATAAACATAAAATACTTTTCTATTATAAAAGAAAACTATAAAATAAACAGAAGGAACACAAACAATTCCCTTATACACAAATATTTAAAGGAGGTAATGTCATGTCATAATGGAAGATCAAAAATTTAGTATTAGGAGTCATATAAGACATATTTCATTCTTAAATTCTAAGGAGAAATTTTTATAAAGCACCCAATGCTTTATTACTATAGAAATATATTTAGTTTCTCTTGGAAACTTGTGAATATGCTGACTTATTTAAGAAATTAATTCAGGAAAAACTGGGAAAACAACCATACTTCACTCAAAAATAAGGAAAATGCATGTAGCACTTGTGATCAGGGGACCTACTCATCAGTTTGATTGAATTAATAATTGATTGTTGGCATTTTAAAGGCAAATCATCAGCCTTGTTTGGTAAATCCAGTGGAGAATTTTAAAGCTATATAAAAAAGTATAATTTCATCAAAATTTAGAAATTCTCTTAACATAAAATGTTACTTCAGGTAATGTAAAAGACTGGAAAACAGGATTGCTTTTTGAATATGAAACTTATGTTGTCATGTAGGCAAAGGCACAGAGAATACAAGAAATATTTAATGAGCAACCACCATAATAAAGATAAAGAGCTAAAATATAAAGACCTGGGAATGTTCTCTGCCTTTGAGTAACTTGCTATCAATTGAAGGATGCCAATGTATACACAAATAACCATACCTCAGTAAAAAAAAAAAAAAAAAAATGCTATAGATGTTTCTAAGAATATCTGATTGATTTTTATTCATGAATGAAGGGTGGCTGAGAGTTCTGATTAAATTGGACCTAAAAGATAGATAAATTTCTACAGTCGAAAGGATACTGCAGGCAGGAAGACAAATTTGAAAGGAAACATTTAAATTGTAGTGAGTTGGTAGTAAAACATTGGAAAAGAATGACAGATATTTCCACAGTTTCTAGACTACGTGAATAAAAGAATTGTGAAGCCATTAACTGAACTGATAAATAGGAAAGAAAATAGAAATGAAATATGAATTTGGTTTTATACTCATTGTTGAGTTTAAGGAACTGGTAGGACATCTATATAGGGATTAACAACAGTCAGCTGGAGATAGTAATCTAGACCAAGAAAAGATCAGGGCCTGAATTTTGAATCTTTCAAACAAAAGTTAAAGCCACATGACGAGTGATGTTTTTCAGGTTAAAAAAAAAAAAAGTAAAAAGTGTATACAGGGAAAAACAAAAATAGAATTTTGAAGATTACTGCTTTTTATGGTGTATTCCGAGACTGATTGAAACTAATAAGGTGTAGCCAGAGATAGATTAAGAAATCCAGAGGAAACCAGTAAGAAGCCAGAGAAGGAGAGAATTTCAGGAACAAACTAGTGGCCAAAACTTCCAAAGCCACATCGAAGTTTTACAGGATAAAGGCTGAAGATGACCACAGTTGAAGACATTTCTTTCTTTAACACAAGATTGCTTTGAAAATTGCAGGCTGGGCACGGTGGCTCATGCCTGTAATCCCAGCACTTTGGGAGGTCGAGGTGGGCAAATCACCTGAGCTTAGGAGTTCAAGACCAGCCTGGGCAACACAGTGAAACCCCATCTCTATTAAAACACAAAACATTAGGCGGGCGTGATGGCGTGCGCCTGTAATCCCAGCTGTTCAGGAGGCTAAGGCAGGTGAATCACTTGAACCTGGGAGGCGGAGCTTGCAGTGAGCTAAGAGTGTGCCACTGCACTCCAGCCTGGTCAACAGGATGAAATTCCATCTCAAAAAAAGAAAAAGAAAAAACACTGCAAACTTGGATTTAAATATAGTTTCAGATATTTTCTTTGTAAATTCAGATATGGGCTTAATTTGTGTTCTGCTCCCAGGGTCTCTCTTGGTAAAGGGGAAAAGGAAACTAAAGAAAATTACTTTGGATAGTTTATTTAAAACAATTTGGCTGCCACTAGCCAAAGTAATTGGCAACTTTGTTAGAGTCTACCCAAATATCTGAAGCAAAGGTATTTAGTACTTTAATTTTCCATTATGTTCATGGATGAAGAAGAGCATTCAAAACTCATCCAGGCATATTAAAATGCTACCTAATATCAAGTCATTTCATTTTGTAGAAACATATTTCTCAGTGGTAGCTTTTGAGTTAGACTTGATCATTTCCTTACTAAGAGAAAGTAGTTGTCATTAATATTTTGAGGAACAACTATATATGGACACAAAATTATAAGATACAAATATATCTACTCCTGAGCACTTTATAACATAATTAGAAAATGGGCTATAATTTAATTAGGTAGAGAAGACCCTCATGTACTTCTAACTGTAATGAGGAATAAAAGAAAGTCTCAAGGAGGCCCTAAAATTATCCATTGCCTTGAAGGATAAGCAAATAAAATCAAGAGAAAGGATCATGTTATATCTAGTGATAAAATTAGCAATTACCATTGTGTTGAGGGGACATGGATTGAATGACCCATGCTTATCCAAGCAAAATGAGATTAGATATTTATAAGTGAAACCATATTTCTGATGGACTTAAAATTCTTAAATTCTTAAAAATTTTCAATGAAGTATTTTTTTTTTTTTTAACCTGGGAACATACACTTTATTTCTGTTACAGGTTCCAGTACTTGCCCCAACCCTAGTCAGCTGTGGGTATTACAGACACTCATAGGCAAGAATGGGGAGAGGCCTGCTCCCCCACGAATCACATCCTCAGTGTTGGCCAAATACCAGCTTGCTGGGTAGGCCTCCTGTGTCCACCAGGTGCTTCTGCAGGAGGGCCCAGGCTTTCTCCACCTGGCGCTGGGTGATATGCGGCTTCCACAAGGTGCTGAGCACCACATGGCTCTGTTCCACAAGCTGCTGCCCGCTCTTCTGGTTCTGCAGCCGGCTTTGAGCCTCAGCCTCACTCAGGCCATCCCTCTCCACAATGCGTTTTACAGCCTCAGTCTCAGGGATGACAACAGTCCACACTTTATGGGCCAGGTTCTGCCAGCTGGCTTCAAGCAGCATAGCAGCATCAATCAAGCACACACGCTTACCCTCAGTCATAGCCCGATCCATCTCCTCTCTGGCCAGCTTTGTGATAATTGGCCACATAATGTCTGTGAGGATCTTCAGCTGCTTCTTGTTCCCAAACACCCGGCTGCCTAGGATCTTCCTGTTGATGATGCCATTTTTATGGAGAGTATCTCTTCCAAAGGCCTCCACCACAGGCTGGTAGGCAGGGCCACCTAGGCATAGGCCCAATGACCCAGGTGGTCACTGTCAATGATAAACGCCCCCAGGCCTTTCAGCCACTGAGTTATTAAGCTCTTCCCAGAGCCACTTATGCCAGTCAGCCCAATCACATAGAGACTCAGAGGGAGCTCTGGCCTCTCATATTAAGGCCGAAGCAGGTTTCCCAGCATTTGCTGATGGAAGCTGGAGGAGCTGACTTTGTCCTCTTCATTCTCCATATGTCTTAGGTCCTTCAACACCTGGACCTGGTACAAGGCAAGCTCCTCCAGATCATTCTCTAGGCAGACGCGGTTGATGGCCATCCCCCGATGATAGGTCTCCTTGCTGACCACCAGGAACTCCAGGGAGGGGTCAAAGCCAGCGGGCCCATAGGGGTCCAGCAGGGGGACAACATCAAAAGTCAAGGAGGGCTTGACATCCACCAGGAACTCACTCAGATGTTCCACGCATTCTGTATAAGGTTGGAGCAGCTCAGGGAGCAACTTGCTCTTCAACAGATCTTGGTCTGCTATTCCCACCACAAGCTGCTCCTGGGCCAGGACACACGCAACACTGAGCAACACCTTGTGGGCATTGTGCAGGTGGCCAAACGTGTCACCCACAGCGCCACAGTAGTAGCCACACACTGGCTGCTTTGGAGACCTGGACATGGGGGAAGCTGGCCTGATCGTGAAGGGTAAGGGGACATGCAGGGGCCCCATGCGCACTTCTCCTGTCCCATAATCGGGGTATAGCAGCACTGAGGCCAGTCGCGGACAACAGCTGTAACAGCTGGTGGCATAACGCACTAGCTGCCGTTTGACCGGGTTGTACTGGCTTCCAGCCAGGGTCTGGAAGTCTGTCAACTCGACTTCTGGTGGGTGGGCGAGATTCTGGACTGATGTGGGCAGGGGAGGGAGAAAGGTGCTGTTGGTTCAGATATTGGTCAGTAGGATTTTGACATCCAGGTGCCTGTGGACGCGCCAGCATAGAGGTGTGTGATGAACTCAAGAACCTCAAACGTGGCCTGCATGGGGCTGGACTGGGGCTGAGCCGGGCCCTCCAGGCTCATGCCCGGCTGCAGGGGTACATAGTGTGTCATTCAGCAGCCGGGCCGCCAAGGTCAGGATGGGGGCCACACGAGGGTCCAGGGAGGCCAGTGGCGTCGTCAGCACCAGGAGGCCAGACCATGAATAAAGCCATTCTGCCCAGGCCTGCGGACAGTCAGGGAGATGAGGCGACGGTGATTGAGGGGCCTGCAGCTGAGGGAGAGGTCTGCAAGGCGTCTTGGACCCCAGAGAAGGGGACCTGGAGCAGGTTTCAATGCTGATCGAGAGGAGCCGGAGGAAGGGATGGGGCCTGGCAGACGGTGCCTCCACGCTTTGCTCTAAGCCTTGGTGTCCTCATTTCTCAGATGGGGTGGTGACTTCGCTGAACTGAGTCGAAATCCTGGGAGGCAGGAGCTGGACTGGAAGCCTTGTCACAGGGCTGGGGATCCAAAAATCCTGGGCCCTCTTGCTAAGCTGCATGAGGGTACTCATGGAATCGACGGGGGAGGCCAAAGGGGGCTGCTCAAGCTCACGTCGGCCCCCTGCTCACCGAAACCTCCGTCTTTTGGCTCCGCTTGCACCACCGTGGAGGCTGCCCTGGCTGCAGCCCAGAAAACTAATACAGCTTTAGAAATTTAGGATACTTGGGATCCTAAAATGACTGTTCATTGAAAACTCTTCCTAGACCAGATATAGAAAAGAAATGTTTAGCTCTTGAAGCATCTACGATAATTAAGATCAACTAAAAAGGATTACCTACACAAACTGGAAAATAACCCTCGGCTTAAGAAAAAATATGTATTCTCTGGAAAAAGCTCACTGAATTAGAAAACAAAAATTAGCATTGAAAGAAAATCCTATCCATCTATTTGTCTTCAAATGTATAAATAATTGTCAAGGAAGGCAGTATCTACTGCTTTCCCCAAAATTTAACAAGACAGAATAATGCCTTCAAAACCTATCCAGGCATATTAAAATGCTACCTAGTATCTAAATGCAATTTCTCTTAGATAAATTTAACCACCACAGTCCTAGAAGATTGCTAGTCAGGATCTATTCCCAAAACAAACAAACAAACAAACAAAAAACCTCTTCATGTATTTAAAAAGAACTTCTCAAAGAAAGAAAAGGGTCTGGCTAATAGACATAGCTCATACTAATTATTTTTTAAATTGAACATTTGTTTACTTATATGCCTTAGATTGATAAGTAAAGATTGTATATATTTATGGAATATAACATACTTTGATATATGTATACAATATAGAATGGCTTAATCAAGCTATTTGACATATGCATGATCTCTCAGACTTATTTTTTGTGGTATTTAACCTACTCTCTTAGAAATTTTCAAGTATACAACATATTGTTATTAACTATAGATACTATGATATACAATAGATTCATTAAACTTCTTTCTCCTAACTGAAACTTTTTGTCCTTTGACCAAGGTCTCCCAGTCCCCTCACCTCTAGCTACTGATACCGATTTTATTATTTTTCTGAGTTCAACTTTTTTAGATTTCACTTATAAGTGATATCATGCTATATTTGTATTACTGTGCCTAGCTTATTTCACTTAACACATTGTCCTCCAACTTCAGCCATGTTGCTGCAAATGATAGAATTTCCCCCCCCCTCTTTTTTTGTTTAGGCAGAGTCTCACTCTGTCACCCAGGCTGGAGTGCAATGGCACCATCTTGGCTCACTGCACCTTCCACCTGCTGGGTTCAAGTGATTCTCCTGCTTCAGCCTCCTGAGTAGCTGGAATTGCAGGTACATACCACCATGCCCAGCTAGTTTTTTTGTATTTTTATAGAGACAGGGTTTTGCCATGTTGGCCAGGCTGGTCTTGAACTCCTGACTTCAGATGATCTGCCCACTTAGGCCTCCCAAAGTGTTGGAATTACAGGCGTGAGCCATAATGCCAGGCTGGATTTCCTTCTTTTTTTTTTTTTTTTTTTGTTTTGTTTTGTTTTGTTTTTTTATTTTTTATTTTATTTTTATTTTTTATTTTTATTTTTATTTTTTTAAATTTATTTTATTGCATTTTAGGTTTTGGTGGATTTCCTTCTTTTTAAAACTTGAATACTATTTAGTTCTATATACAGGGTCTCATTCTTTTTTATGGCTGAATAGTACTCCATTATGTATATGTACCACATTTTTAAAAATCTATTCATCTGTTGATGAACACTTACATTGCTTCCAAATCTTGGCTATTGTGAACAGTGCTGTGACAAATATGGGAGTGCAGATATCTCTTTCATACACTGATTTCCTTTATTTTGGATATACAACTAGTAATGGGATTGCTTGATCATATGGTGGCTCTATTTTTAGTTTTCTGAAGAACCTCTAAACTGTTCTCCATAGTGGCTGTACTAATTTTCCCACCAATAGTGTATGAGAGTTCCCTTTTCTCCACATCTTCATTATCTGTTATTGTCTGTCTTTTGGATAGAAACCATTTGAACTGGGGTGAGATGACATCTTACTGCAGTTCTGATTTGCATTTCTCTGATGATCAATGATGCTGAGCACCTTTTCATCTGCCTGTTTGCCATCTGTACGTCTTCTTTCGAGAAACGCTTACTCAAAACTTTTGCCCATTTTTTTCATCAGGTTATTCAATTGTTTTCTATAGAGTGGTTTGAACTCCTTATATATTCTGGTCATTCATCCCTTGTAAGATGGTTAGTTTGTAAACATTTTCTTCCATTCTGTGGGTTGTCTTTTCATTTTGTTGATTGTTTCCTTTGCTGTGCAGAAGCTTTTTAACTTGATGTGATCCCATTTGTCAATTTTTGCTTTGGTTGCCTGCAGAGCAGTGTCCTGAAGAGTTTCTCCAATGTTTGCTTCTTAGTAGTATCATAGGCTGAAGTCCTAGATGTAAGTCTTTAATCCATTTTGATACGATTTTCTATATGGTGAGAGATAGGGCTCTAGTTTCATTCTTCTGCATATTTATATCCAGTTTTCCAGCACCATTTATTGAAAAGACTATCTTTTCTTCAGTGTATGTTCTTGACAATTTTGTTAAAAATGAGTTCAGTAAAGCTGTATGAATTTGTTTCTGGGATCTCAATTCTGTTCCATTGGTCTATGTGTCTATGTTTATGCCAGTGCTATACTGTTTTGGTTAACTATAGCTCTGTAGTGTAATTTGAAATCAGGTAATGTGACTACTCCAGTTTAGTTCTTTTTGCTTAGGACAGCTTTAGTATCCTGGGTCTGTTGTGTAATTTTTAGAATTGCTTTTTCTATTTCTGTGAAGAATGTCATTGCTATTTTGATAGGGATTGCATTGAATATGTATATTGTTTTGGTTAGTATGGTCATTTAAACAATATTGATCCTTCTAATCCATGAACATGGAATAGCTTTCCAGATTTGGGTGCCCTCTTCAATTTCTTTCATTAGTGTTTTATAATTTTCATTATCAAGATCTTTCACTTCTTTGGTTAATTGCTAGGTAATTGTTTTTGTGTGTGGCTACTGGGATTACTTTTTTAAATTTATATTTCACATGGTTCGCTGTTGGCATATAGAAATGCTACTGATTTTTGTATGTTGATTTCATATCCTGCAACTTTACTGAATTTGTTTCTCATTTCTAATAGTTTTTTTTTGTTGAGTCTTTGGGTTTTTTCAAATAAAAGATCATATCATCTTCAAACAAGTATAATGTGACTTATTCCATCCCAGTTTGCATACCCTTTATTTCTTTCTCATCTGTTTGTTCAGATTTCCAGTACTATGTTGACTAACAGTGGTGAAAGTGGGCATTCTTGTCATGTTCCAGATCTTTGAGGAAAGGCTTTCAGTTTTTCCCCATTCAATATGATACTAGTTTTGGGTCTGTCTTTTATAGCTGTTGAGGTGTGTTTCTTCTATCCCCAGATTTTTCGGGTTTCATTTTTTTTAATCATAAAGGAATGTTGAATTTTATCAAATGCATTTTCAGTATTAATTGAAATGATCATATGTTTTTGTCCTTCATTCTGTTAACATGGTGTACCACACTGATTAATTTGCATATGTTGAACCATCCTGGCATCCCAGGGCTAATCCCACTTTGTCATGATGAATGATCTTTTTAACATATTGTTAAATTTGGTTTGTTAATATTATGTCGAGAATTTCTGCATTGATATTCATCAGATACACTGGCCTATAGTTTTCTTTCTATGATGTGTTTTTGTCTGATTTTGGTGTCAGGGTAATACTGGCCTTGTAGAATGAGTTTGGAAGTATTCCTTCCTCCTCTATTTATCTAAATAATTTGAGTAATATTGGTATTAGTTCTTTAAATGTCTGGTAGAATTCAGTGGTAATGTGATGAGGTCCTGGGCTTTTCTTTGCTGGAAGACTTTTTATTACGGCTTTGATCTTGTTACTTGCTATTGAGTCTATTTAGGTTTTGGATTTCCTATTTTTAATTTTTTTATTATACTTTATCGGGTACATGTGCAGATCATGCAGATTTGTTACATAGGTTTACACGTGCCATGGTGATGGTTTGCTGCATCCATCACCCCATCATTTACATTAGGAATTTCTCCTAAGGTTATCCCTCCACAATCCCCCTGCCTCATGGTAATTCTCCCCTAGCCCCCCACCCCCAGCCCCCAGTGTGTGATGTTTCCCTCCCTGTGTTTGTATGTTCTCATTGTTCAACACCCACTTATGAGTGAGAATATGTGGTGTTCGGTTGTCTGTTCTTGTGACAGTTTGCTGAGAATTATGGATTCTAGTTTAATCTACGTCCCTGCAAAGGACATGAACTCATCCTTTTTTATAGCTGCATATTATTCCATATGGTATGTGTGCCACATCTTCTTTATCCAGTCTGTCATTGATGGGCATTTGGGTTGGCTCCAAGTCTTTGCTATTGTGAACAGCGCCGCAATGAACATATGTGTGCATGTGTCTTTATAACTGAATGTTTTATAACCCTTAGGGTGTATACCCAGTAATGGGATTGCTGGGTCAAATGGTATTTCTATTTCTAGATCCTTGAGGAATCACCACACTATCTTTCACAATAGTTAAACTAATTTACACTCCCACCAACAGTGTAAACACATTCCTATTTCTCTGCATCCTCTCCAGCATCTGTATCCTGATTTTTTAATGATTGCCATTCTAACTGGTGTTAGGTGATACCTCAATGTGGTTTTGATTTGCATTTCTCTAATGATCAGTGATGATGAGCTTTTTATCACGTTTTTTGCCTGCATAAATATCTTCTTTTGAAAAGTGTCTGTTAATATCCTTTGCCCACTTTTTGATGGGGTTGTCTGTTTTTTTCTTGTAAATTTGCTTAAGTTCTTTGAAGATTCTAGATATTAGCCTTTTGTCAGATGGGTAGACTGAAAAGATTTTTTCCATTCTGTTGGTTGCCGGTTCACTTTATTGATAGTTTCTTTTGCTGTGAAGAAGCTCTTAAGTTTAATTAGATCCAATTTGTCTATTTTGGCTTTTGTTGCTATTGCTTTTGGTGTTTTAGTCATGAAGTCCTTGTCTATGCCTATGTCCTGAAGGGTATTGCCTAGGTTTTCTTCTAGAGTTTTTATGGTATTAGGCCTCATGCTTAAATCTTTAATCCATCTAGAGTTAATTTTTGTATAAGGTGTAAGAAAGGGATCCAGTTTCAGCTTTCTGCATATGGCTAGCCAGTTTTTCCAACACCATTTATAAAATAGAAAATCCTTCCCCCATTGCTTGTTTTTGTCAATTTGTCAAAGATCAGATGGTTGTAGGTGTGTGGCATTACTTCCGAGGCCTCTGTTCTGTTCCATTGGTCTATATCTCTGTTTTGGTACCAGTACCATTCTGTTTTGATTACTGTAGGCTTGTAGTATAGTTTGAAGTCAGGTAGCATGATGCCTCCAGTTTTGTTATTTTTTCTTCAGATTGTCTTGGCTATGCAGGCTCTTTTTTGGTTCCATATGAAGTTTAAAGTGGTTTATTCCAGTTCTGTGAAGCAGGTCAATGGTAGTTTGATAGGGATAGCATTGAATCTGTAAATTACTTTGGGCAATATGGCCAGTTTCACAATATTGATTCTTCCTAACCATAAGCATAGAATGTTTTTCCATCTGTTTGTGTCCTCTCTTATTTCCTTGAGCAGTGGTTTGTATTTCTCCTTAAAGAGGGTCCTTCACATCCCTTGTTGGTTGTATTCCTAGGTATTTTATTCTCTTTGTAGCAACTGTGAATGGGAGTTCACTCATGATTTGGCTCTCTGTTTGTCTGCTATTGGTGTATAGGAATGCTTGCGATTTTTGCACATTAATTTTGTATCCTGAGACTGATGAATTTGCATATCAGGTTAAGGAGATTTTGCGCTGACATGATGGGGTTTTCTAAATATGCAATCATGTCATCTGCAAACAGGGACAATTTGATATTCTCTCTTCAACTACCCTTTATTTCTTTCTCTTGCCTGATGACCCTAGCCAGAACTTCCAAAACTATGTTGAATAGGAGTGGTGAAAGAAGGCATCCTTGTCTTGTGCCAGTTTTCAAAGGAAATGCTTCCTGTTTTTGCCCATTCAGTATGATATTGGCTGTACGTTTGTCATAAACAGTTCTTTTTACTGTGAAAT